ATAACAAAGCCTTGATTGCTCATATTTATATGGAATCATCCTCAGGTAGTGTAGATTTAAGTTTGTTCAAATCATGACCCCGGGGGGTTGGGTGGGACCACAATGGCTGACCAAAGTTCTACATAGAAATATATAGGAAAATTCGTTAAAAATCTTCTCAAGAATAACAAAGCCTTGATTGCTCATATTTATATGGAATCATCCTCAGGTAGTGTAGATTTAAGTTTGTTTAAATCATGACCCCTGGGGGTTTGGTGGGTCCACAACCCTTACAGAAATTTCTGATAAGTGACTTATAAGTGATTTATTCTTTTACTTATAAGTTGTTTATTCTGGACTTACACTTCACTGATACATTTAACTTATAAGTGACTAATAAGTTACTGATTAGGATTTTATATGCAAATGAGCTGCTTCACCTATAAGTGACTTATAAGCCAGTATTAGCCACTTATGCTTTATGCAGGTATAGTTACTTATAAGTGACTTATAAGTTAAGCATTAACCCTTCATACTTTATTAAGTATGAGTCATCTATAAGTCACTTATAAGTGAAGTACAACACTATACCTGTAAGATCTTAATTTAGAACAGAACTTCCAACCATGCAGGGATTGCATGATATGTTCAGAGCTATGTTTTACATGTACATATGTACATATGTATCTGCACTTTAGATGAAATAATAAAGTAAAAATTTTATGAAAAAAATCCCTTTCATATGACATTTCTTTGATGATGCAAACTTAACATATTAATTCAGTTTACAAACAAGAATTTTGAACAAAAAGGCAACAAGATTTAATGACCTTGAGGCTTCTTCAAATTTATGAAATCTGAAAGCAACTGAGTCAATTGATTCAAAATTTCAGGCAAAGGAAGTTAAAATAGAGAGATGATGTAAATAGCACCTACTTGCTCTACCTGATGTGAAGGCATACTCAAAATAAATCTAAAATGTCCAACATCCTTTCACAGACACAAACTTGGTTTCAAATTCTTGTTGCTGATCTCTGTAGAGACAAACTTTCTGATTGGCTACCTTGAATACCCATAGTACTTCTTGAGAGAAGTCTAGAATAGGGTAAAAATTCTAAGTCCACACTTATACTTGCTCATACCATACTGATCTTCACTTATAAGTGAGGTATAAGTGAAATATTCACTGATATGTAGCTCATCTTTAATTATAAGTGAAGTATTAACGAAATCCGTTCCTCACTTATACTTACTTTGACTAATAGTACACTTATAAGTAAATTTCAAAATTTATAAGTGACTTATAAATTGCTAATAAGTGGATTATAAAACACTTATAAGTTTCTATTAGTTTTTTCTGTAAGGGAATGGCTGGCCAAAGTTCTACATAGAAATATATAGGAAAATTCGTTAAAAATCTTCTCAAGAATAACAATGCTATTATTGCTCATATTTATATGGAAGCATCCTCAGGTAGTGTAGATTTAAATTTGTTCAAATCATGACACCCGGGGGTAGGGCGGGCCACAATGGCCGACCAAAGTTCTACATAGAAATATATAGGAAAATTCTTTAAAAATCTTCTTCTCAAGAATAACAAAGCCATGATTGCTCATATTTATATGGAATCATCCTCAGGTAGTGTAGATTTAAGTTTGTTCAAATCATGACCCCCGGGGGTTGAGTTTGGCCACAATGGCTGACCAAAGTTCTACATAGAAATATATGGGAAAATTCGTTAAAAATCTTCTCAAGAATAACAAAGCCATTATTGCTCATACATGTATTTATATGGAAGCATCCTCAGGTAGTGTAGATTCAAGTTTGTTCAAATCATGACCCTTGGGGGTAGGGTGGGCCACAATGGCCGACCAAAGTTTAACATAGAAATACATAGGAAAATTCTTTAAGCATCTTCTTCTCAAGAATAACTAAGCCTTGATTGCTCATATTTATATGGAATCATCCTCAGGTAGTGTAGATTTAAGTTTGTTCAAATCATGACCCCCGGGGGTTGAGTTGGGCCACAATGGCTGTCCAAAGTTCTACATAGAAATATATGGGAAAATTTGTTAAAAATCTTCTCAAGAATAACAAAGCCATTATTGCTCATACATATATTTATATGGAAGCATCCTCAGGTAGTGTAGATTCAAGTTTGTTCAAATTATGACCCCCGGGGGTAGGGTGGGCCACAATGGCCGACCAAAGTTTAACATAGAAATATATAGGAAAATTCTTTAAAAATCTTCTTCTCAAGAATAACCAAGCAATGATTGCTCATATTTATATGGAAGCATTCTCAGGTAGTGTAGATTGAAGTTTGTTCAAATCATGACTTCCGGGGGTTGGGTGAGGCCACAATGGCCAACCAAAGTTTTACATAGAAATATATTCTTTATTAGGAAAATTCTTTAAAATTCTTCTACTCAAGAATAACAAAGCCTTGATTGCTCATATTTATATGAAAGCATCCTCAGGTAGTGTAGATTCAAGTTTGATCAAATCATGAACCCCGGGGGTAGGGCGGGGCCACAATGGCCGACCAAAGTTTTACATAGAAATACATTGTGTATAGGAAAATTCTTTAAGAATCTTCTTCTCAAGAATAACAAAGCCATGATTGCTCATATTTATATGGAAGCATCCTCCAGTAGTGTAGATTTAAGTTTGTTCAAATCGTGACCCCCAGGGGTTGGGCGGGGCCACAATGGCCAACCAAAGTTTTACATAGAAATATATAAGAAAATTCTTCAAAAATCTTCTTCTCAAGAATAACAAAGCAATGATTGGTCATATTTATATGGAAGCATCCTCAGGTAGTATAGATTCAAGTTTGTTCAAATCATGACCCCCGGGGGTTAAGGGCGGGGCCACAATGGCCGACCAAAGTTTTACATAAAAATATATAGGAAAATTCTTTAAAAATCTTCTTCTCAAGAATAACAAAGCCATGATTGCTCATATTTATATGGAAGCATCCTCCGGTACTGTAGATTTAAATTTGTTCAAATCATGACCCCCCGGGGGTAGGGCGGGGCCACAATTGCCAACCAAAGATTTACATAGAAATATATAGGAAAATTCTTCAAAAATCTTCTTCTCAAGAATAACAAAGCCATGATTGGTCATATTTATATGGAAGCATCTTCAGGTAGTGTAGATTCAAATTGTTCAAATCATGACCCCCGGGGGTCCGTCCGTCCGTCTTTCTGTATGTCTGTAACGCTTTCGTTTCCACATGATATCTCGAGAACCCTTTGAGCTTTTGCAAAATTTAGCATAGCAACTCCCTATGGACTAAAGAAGACCCCTATTGATTTTGAGGTCAAAAGGTCAAAGGTCAAGGTCATAAATAAGCAAATTCTGTCTGTTAAAACACTTTCGTTTCCACACGATATCTCTAGAACCATTTGAGCTATTGCAATGAAATTTTACATAACAACTCCCTGTGGCCTAATGAAGACCCCTATTGATTAGGTGAAAAGGTCAAAGTTCAAGGTCGTAAATTTATACAAACACTATCATTTCCGGGCGATATTTCAAGAAAATTTTGAGCTTATGCAATGTAATTTTATACCAAAACTCCCTAGGAAAAGTATTAGTATTTATAGTATTACATGTCGCTATTTTTAGCGCAGGGGCATGAGGAGAGTTATTGCGTCAGGTTCTCGGCGGACTTTATGTTCTTAATCTATAGAACTGTTTAATAATGGCTAAATAAATCAAACACCATGGATTGTGTAAAATTTTGAGAATACCGAACATGAATATATACATGTATGTGACTTTTGTCCTGCATATACTTGATACCGGCAAGAGCGATTCCGTGGTCCAGTGGTCATGTCACTCGCTTCACATGCGAAAGGTCCCGGGATCGAATCCCAGTCGAACTTGTCTTTTTTTTTCTTTTTTTTTTTTAAATACTTTTCTTCTTTTTTTTATTAAATGATAGTATTCAGCATGTGAAATGAAAAATTTATGAGGTTATAAAATCATCATTACAGTGTGATAAATATTCCATATAAAAAGAATCTTCTATACACATAATAAAGAATAAGCTTTATATGCATATTGACATACATGTATTTTATTTGCTTCAGTATACATGTATACATATAATAATTCTACAAATTCAGTCAGGGGGATCCGACTTTTTCCCTAAGCGGGGGACACGAATTCTCTGAATTAGCTTGTTGGTTTAAACTTTTCAATAATTAACTAATTTCTGCTTTTTTTCTGGCCACAGTGCTCAGGTGAGTGATGTGGCCCATGGGTCTCTTGTTATATCAAGAGTCAGTCATTGCTTAGTGCAAGGTCATTTGAAAAGTTCAAGGTCACTTGGAAAGTTCAAGGTCACATATATTCCTTTACAGTCTTTTTCTTAGCTAAACATTGTAAGTTGCTTCTCTTACAAGGTTTTTTGACTTGTATAACTTTAGAATGTGGCTTTTGACTTAGACTCAAGGTTACATCTTCTTGTATGTAGCTCCAACGGAAGACCTATTCATTGCTTTGCAACGAGCTCGGCTCTAGTTGTTTGTATGATTTGATTTTTTTCCAACAATCATTTAATTTGCAGTGTGTCATGTCTCACAAAGATGACAGATGGTTGCAATTTATTTTTTCAATGTATTAAACAAAAATGCAATTACAACCTATAACTACATGTATTGATATTTTATTATGTTGCACCTTAGTTTCATTTATTAAAAAAATATAATGAGCAATTATTTTTTCACTCTAAATGTGTATAAAAGAATTTGGGAACACCTCTTAGATCCATAAAATGTTATAAAATGTAATTTGGCACCTTCTCTGAAAATCCAGTGGTTTTTTTTGTCCCTTTTGGACAGTTCTAGTTATAAATACAAACCAGTAGAGCTACAGTCACGACAGAGATTTCTGGTTTAAGGGTTCTGTACAGTGTTTGGGTAGAAAAACTATCACATACATAGGGACAAGATTCTAAAATTAAATTTTAATAGGCCTGAAGTTGAACTGTTTTCTCTTTTATGTAGTTAAAGCTTGTTGACATCAGTAAGAAACTGTGTACTACCATATGGAGTGAGGATAAGGATGTAAAGCTGAATGAACCAGGTGGTGTGTGTGTGGACATGACTAAGGGAGTGGCCTACATTGCTGACACAAACAACCACATCATCAGGATACTAAACATAAAGGAATGGGTTTTCAAACAGGTAGACTAATTCTTTTGTAAGTTGATCAATTATTGAAATATGATGTCACCATTCTTAATTATACGAGGGGCATTTCAAAAGTTCTGACAACTGTTTCATAAAAAATTAACCGTTTTCCGGAAATTATTGAGTTTGATATCATTGGAAAGTTCAGAAAAATATACACATATAGTGATGTCACTTTAATTTTCATGATGTATTAAATCCGAAAATGACGTCAGACTTTCGCATGTTTGGGATACTGGCCATAAAAATGATGTAACAAAAAACACAATTTGAGCAAATTAAAATTTTAAAGAGTTTTTTCTCATTACTTAGGAGCAAGTTAACGGACGCAAATGCAAGTTGGTGGAATGTTTACATGACTACAATCTATCATATGGTGTTCTATTTCGGAGATCTCGTTCTGAAATGTTGCGTAAAAAAGATCTAACTGTGAGAAAAAGACAAATTTGACAATGAAAGAAAAATAGGCGATCATGTTACAAAATTTGATGGCATCAATTCGTCAGGTGTTTAAACCAGATTTGTGGGATCGATGAAGGCTCAAGAGAAGTTAAGTTTAGTGTGCCCCATATTTTCTCATAAAATCCAAAATGGCGGGACGCAGTTGTAACCCCACCGTACCTACACATGTTCGAAAATTTTAATTCATGGAAATTAAACAAGATTTTACATGTCTGTGTAACTTGTAACCCTTTTTTGGAGTCAAAAGTCAAAAGCAGTAGTGAGTTTGGGGGCGCCGAACTTGAATTAATATGAAAAATTACGCACAGAAACAAGTCAGGGGGAAGACTTTTGTACATTTTATTTGTAAACGGTAAAAGTCCTGTTACTCAAAATATTAGGGATGTCAACAAATAGTCGACTATTCGACTATCAGACAAATGGACCGACGATCGAATAATAAAACGACATTTGAATATTAAATAAATGCAAGTAAAGGAGATGATAATGAAATTCTCATCTCAAAATTGAAAAAGGGTCCTTCTTCTCATAGCGTACATCCTCAGATGAATAAGAGCTCAGAGTCGCAGACTCGCAGTATATAAATATTTTTCCAAATTGTACTTATGAAAAAAAAACAGTAATTACATACCGCGATAATTATTTCTCAATCACTGACTTTTTTGTTTTTGTTGTCAATTATGCAGCATTATACTGGACTTTGAAAATTAATTAATTGAATTGTACCAATTATATTTATAACCTCTAGGAATTTCAAATCCTAGGAACACACAATATTTGCATAGCCATGCAGTTTTTTAAACTTCGATTATTATCAAAACAATAATCTTACATTAAAGGCATTTTGATAGTTTGGGCAATCATTAATTGAACAAACAGTATCTAACAAAATGTGTCAATAGTGTGTGTTTACAATTCCCATTTTCCAGTATATTTTACTTAATAAGCTTTCAAAAATACCGTGCTATAAAAAAAATGCTTCGAATAGTTGACTATCATTCCAATAATGCAATCGAATGTTCGACTAAGGAAAATTTATATCTTTACATCCCTACAAAATATATATGTTGAAAACTGCATTAACATATTTCGATCAGTATTTTACAGAACATGTTTTATTTCATACAATAGAGAGCTACATAAAAGACTGAAAATCCAGCCGTATCATGTAAATAACAAGATGTGTTTGTGAAACACTATGTGCCCGGCGGCAACAAAGTTTAAAAAAACATATTTTAGCTTATAGGTCACAGCCAAGGTCACAAGGTCACAAGGTCATTGACGATGGTGTCATTTAAAAGAGCTTAATCAGTGGTGTATGCATACCAAATATGAAGTCTCTATCTTTTATGATTTAAAAGTTACTGCGAAGGTTAAAGTTTGCAGAAAAAAAATTATTTTTAGCATATAGGTCAAGGTCACAAGGTCATTGACGTTGATGTCATTTGAACTACTCTTCTTCTTTGCAAATTATAATTTTCTTTGAAATATCTTTTCAAATAAGCCTTTGGCAGCACTTTTAAAATATTGTCTAATGTGGATAAAAACGCGACTTTTCAGTATGCTAAACATTCTATATTCTGACGTCATTTTCGGATTTATTATGTCATAAATATAACAAAGTTATGTCACAAGATGTGTATATTTTTCTGATCTTTCCAATGATATCAAACTCAATAATCTCCGTGAAACGGTTAATTTTTTATTAAACAGTTCTCAGAACTTTTGAAATGCCCCTCATAAAAATAATTTATGAGAAATTCTTTCTAAAGACTGCTTCTATATTCTAGTCTGATTTCATCAAATCATGCCTTGTACGTGATTGGCCCATTTCTAAGTTTAAATCTAAGTTTATGCAATGTACACAGGTAAGGCTTTGCTGAGTACAGCTTAGAATTATGGTAAATTCTGAACCTGGTGTAGTTGTAATGTAAACCTGTCTTGATAACTTATACCTTGAGTTTTCTTGAGCCTGTTTGGATATTGTGGAAAGACTATAATAAGACAAAAACAAGCTCGGAAAAACAGGTTACAGTACATACTGTTTTAGTGCTAGTATGAACATGGATATTGCTAATTCATGGACATAGCAAAGTAATCTTGGATCCCCAGCTATATAAATTTAATGAATTCCTTATACAGATATAAAGAATTATGGATAGAGCGTGGATATGTCATATGTCTCTGTGACTCCTTTTTAACCAAGTTTTACTGTATATCCAATGATATTTCTGGAACCGATGATGGTTGTGTGTAGAGATTCAGGTATATGGATTTTTTAAAATTAAATTTGCCCTTTGTTATCCCCACATGCAACTAGTTGTGAAGGGGATATAGCATTGCTACTGTGTATATGTTTGTGTGTTAATATGTGTCTGTTACAGAGAACATTTGGATAATCAATTCTCAGCCTCCACATAGTTATGTGGCATCGATCATAATATGCAAAATATTGCATTTTTACTGCCTTTAAACCTAGAAATTTTATGTACAAGTTGATAATACATGTACTCACTATCAGTTAATTAAACTGGTAAATTCAGGTTGCTTCAATAGAATTGCTAGTTCTACTTCAAGACCATTCTAAATACACTATGATTTTTTTTTTTACCCATGACCTTGACCTACTTTCAAAAAAAAATTAAATTGTTTTAGATTGATCGTTTTGAAGAAGAAAAGATAGGATATTCATACATGCATGTGTATTACCTGTGATAAGACCTTTCCAAATGTATCATGACTTTTGACTCTGTGACCTTGACCTTGAAGTTTAACCTACTAGTTTAATGTTGTACTTTCTTATAACTTTTGATTGAGAAGAGATATGACTTTTACAATTGATATGTACATTAACCATAACGAGATGTTTCCCAGCATGCTATGATTTTTTACCCCTTGACCTTGATGTTTTACCTAATTTTCAAAAAAGATGATTAGGCTACTGTATAAAATGAAGGAGGAGTTCAGGGAACCACGGGATTTTTTTCATAAAAAACTTCATTTTTCAACCCTCATTTGACCCCGCGGCACAAAATGAAAATTCGGAAACCTTTCTGCACATCTACATGACAACACCAACTATCTCCCAAAAGATGATTAGGCTACTATGCAAAATGTAGGAGGAGTTCAGGAAACTCGGGGATTTTTTCATGAAAAAAACATTTTTCTACCCCCATTTGACCCCCCAAGGCAAAATGAAAATTCCGAAACCTTACTACACATCTACATGACACCACCAACCATCTCCCAAAAGATGATTAGGCTACTTGTAAAATGTAGGAGGAGTTTGAGGAAGAAAACTGTGATAGACAAATGGACGGACATGAGTAACAATTATATACCCAAACTTTCTTTAGAAAGTGCGTATATAACAAATGTGAATATATGATGTCTTGATTGTTTGATTGATTGTAATTTAACGTCCCTATCGAGAATTTTTCACTCATATGGAGACGCCACCACTTGCTGGTGGAGATCTAAAATCAGGGCCATTGAGCAGTGAGGGATTTTTTTGTGCCAGCACCTACTGCGACACGGGACCTCGGTTTATATGGTCTCATCCGAAGGACCGGTCTCCATGTCCCACAGTGGGATTCAAACCCGGGACATAAGGATCAACTCCTTACTTCGCGACTCTAGAGCAGATGCTCAAACCACTGCGCCACGCAGATTATGTCTTGCAAAGAAGATTGCAAGTCATAAATGTGATGTAGGCAACAGAGGTTACATGATATATAATTATATTTTTCTATCAAATCGGAAAGCATTTAACAACCAAATAAAATTATTTTCAAATCATAATCTTGAAATTTTAGAACCAAAGTCAGAATAATTGCTTTCTTTTATAAATAATTGCAGAGTTCTTGTCAGGAAAATCCCCCTAACCCACTCTGTTTTGAGCAAGCAAGTTGGATGTACCATTCAATTTTCAAAGTAGAGTTTCAAATGCTTTGTCTTATTTGTGGTTCGAAGCAAGCAAACATTATTTTATTTTAATTTCAGTTGCCAGTAATTTTCTCAAATGACATAGAGGCTAGCCAGGTGATCAATTTGTCAGACATTTTGAAGCCAGGAAGGCAGCTAGAGAAGAATGAAGTAAGATATATTGCTCCTGGTTCGCAGGCTAACGTGATCCTTCTTCTGGATTTGCCATATGGATGTCATGTGAATGATGAAGCTCCAAGCAGTTGGAGTGTTGTAATACAAGGTAATTTTGGTAGATAGTTAATAATCAGGGGGTCTTAATAAATATTCTCAAACTGACTTTCGTATAAAACAATTCAACAAGTTTATTTTTAGCTCACCTGAGCCAAAGGCTCATGCGAGCTTTTCTGATCAAAATTTGTCTGTTGTTGTTGTTGGCGTCGTTGTAAACTTTTCACATTTTCATCTTCTTCTCCAGAACTACTGGGTTAATTTCAACCAAACTTGGCACAGAGTATTCCTGGGTAAAGGGGATTCAAGTTTGTTCAAATGAAGGGTCATGCCCTCTTCCAAGGGGAGATAATTATGAATTGGTGAAAAATTAATGGCATTTTTAAAAAATCTTCTTCTCAAGAACCACTGGGCCAGGAAAGATGAAACTCATGTGGAATCATCCTCAGGTAGTGTACATTCAAATTTGTTCAAATCATGACCCCCAGGGGTAGGGTGTGGCCACAATGGCCGATCAAAGTTTTACATAGGAATATATAGGAAAAATCTTTAAAAATCTTCTTCTCAAGAACCATTGGGACAGCAAAGATGAAACTTATGTTGAATCATCCTCAGGTAGTGTACATTCAAGTTTGTTCAAATCATGACCCCCGGGGTTAGGGTGGGGCAACAATGGCTGATCAAAGTTTTACATAGGAATATATAGGAATTAATCTTTAAAAATCTTCTTCTCAAGATCCATAGGGACAGGAAAGATGGAACTCATGTTGTATCATCCTCAGGTACCGTATTTGGGGGAATAAAATACGCACTTTTTTCCTAAAATAAATTTCTGTGAGAAAGGGATGTGTATTTTACATCACAATGGGATTTTGATAAGTTTTTCTTTCAGTTGAAACACGGCTATCATACGTACATACCGTAGTATTACCTAGAGACATATGCAACTTCTTTTGTTTATCGCCATATTTTAAACTTCGGAAAGTTACTGTTGGAAGGTATGCTTGTTAAAAATGTCACTTTCATAATCTTTTGATACTAAAAAGGCAAGTTAAAAGTAATTTGAGCTGCATGTTGATTGTCTCCGAGTAGGCCGCCATTACCGATGTTATTTTTGGACGTTCACTCATGGCTATTGCCAGATGCTTCCGTAATGATAGTGCACATGCACCTTATCTGCCAGACAAAGTAATAAGTCGTTTTTTAATGAAATACAATAAAGTAAAAATTTATTTTAGGTTTTAAATAACTCATTGAAAATCTGCTGCAACATAAACACCTGTCCATACGTTCCAATGAAAGGAAGCCAATGTTGTGACATACGTGCGCTGGTCAAATGATAATTACCTATCAACACCCCTCCGGGCAATTAATTGTCTACCGACTCCAAAGCGAAGTTTTTACAGTTAGAGCACTGATTATTTACTGTCATGTTAATTGATCCCACTGCAAAATTTTAACGTTTCAAACCATAAATGCAGAAGAATTTTCCTTTTCATGGAAGGAATTTATTATTTAAAAAAATAAACAATACTTCATTATCCTACCCTTTAGTGTGGTTTCCTTCTGCAATGTTATCCCTTTTCGGCACTACATTTCGACAAATCCAAGAGGAGTAGGGTAAATGGGCAAATATTTTTAAACAATACTCACCTAAAAGAAGAAAATTTAAAATTTTCAACTACATGGTTTCAAGGAAAGCTCGTTTTATACAATTTGTAAAAACCTATGGTAGAATTGTATGGTAGAAACATCCTACCATTTATTTATAAATCACCCTTCAAAACATCAACTTTGGAAACTTGAGATACTAATTTTAAAAGACATTTACGCTTGAAATTATATATGTAATATAACGAAGGGTTATGTCATTGTACTGAAGTCCGAAAATGGTAATTTTTGTTACAACAATGTGACCTTAATTTATGCAAAAAACCACGTGAGCTTAAAAAGTGTTGAGCTGTACAAACAAGATGTTAAAAAAAATCTTTTTCTCAAGAAGTTATAAGCAGTATTGATACGGAGGCATTCTCAAGTAGTATTAGAATTTACTCCCTCCCCCCCACCCCTACCCCTCATTAAACTTTTCAAATTCTGACCTGATTTGTGCTTTTTCCTAACCTATGTGCTCAAAGAGCGATGTGGCCCCTGGGCCTCTTGTTTTTTAATGTATCTCCAAACTTAAAGCAAGCAGAATTAAAAATACACAAGTAAATATGCTTGAAATCATCAAATTATCAGCTATTTATGTGTAGATTCAAATATCATCTTACATCTTGCATGAAACAAACATATACCGTATAACTGGTTTTTAATGCGGGTGCAAATTTTTGCGATTTGATCCTGAAATAGGTATATTTTTTTTTTGCGATTTTAATTTTTGCGATTTCACTTTGACAATAAAGTCTATTTTTATTGAATTTTATTACTAGACATTTACACATATTACATTGAATTTTACTCTCTATCTCTCGAAGTTTTGATTGCGCTTGTATACACGCCAATCAAGCGTAAAATAGATGCAGTCTGGACTTACCTGCAAACAGTGAAGGCCTTGGGCTGTTAATTGGATGTTTACATAGATGACACTACGCCTGTGGGTCGTCAGTGTGTTGTTATAATTAATGGGTTATTTTTCACAGTGTAAATTAGAAACAAAGTCACAATTATTTTGAATTGAAACCGAGACGATAATTCTTTGAAATTAATTTATAGAAGTTCGTTTCAGTGAGTTCCCATAGGCTATGAACTTTCATTTATGATTATAAAGAGTTTATATATAATCCCAGTAGGGGAAATATTACACAAGAAATTCTTTTCTTAAGGACAGAATACCGATTAAGAAAAATCTGGTAAACACTGGTGAAGGACCCGATCAAGCCGCAGAATAGTCAAACCGACAATTGCTATTTGGGTTTCAAATAAATAAATCATGAAATACAATGTAGGAACAAATAATTATTGAACCTTTAGGAATTCGTTTTATTTATTCGAAAATAATCATTGTTGTTGATATCAAGTAAATTACCTGTAAAATACGATTGAAAACGTGCAAATGGCATTATTTACATATACTTCCGATATCTGTAAAAGTAGAACTTCGATGATCGCAATTGAAAATTCCGGATTTTATTTACGTATTTTTTTGCGATTGAATTTTTTGCGATTAAGACTTGATCGCAGAATTTCGCAAAAAATAGCACCCCGTAGAAAAATCCAGTTATACGGTATCACATGTCAGACAGACATAACAGAAATAGGGTGCTGGAAACAGACATAACAGAAATAGGGTGCTGAAAACTGACATAACAGAAATAGGGTGCTGGAAACAGACAGACATAACAGAAATAGTGTGCTGGAAACAGACAAACATAACAGAAAAAGGATGCTGGAAACAGACAGACATAACAGAAATAGGGTGCTGGAAATAGACAGACATAACAGAAATAGGGTGCTGGAAACAGACAAACAGAAATTATCAAATAGTGTGCTTGGAACAGACAGACATAACTAAAATAGGGGGCTGGAAACAGACAGACTTCACAGAAATAGGGTGCTGGAAAAAGACAGGCATAACAGAAATAGGGTGCAGGAATCAGACAGGCAAAATAGAAATAGTGGGCTGGAGACAGACAGACATAACAGAAATAGGGTTCTGGAAACAGACAGACATAACAGAAATAGTGTGCTGGAAACAGACAAACATAACAGAAGTAGGATGCTGGAAACAGACAGACATAACAGAAATAGGGTGCTGGAAATAGACAGACATAACAGAAATAGGGTGCTGGAAACAGACAAACAGAAATTATCAAATAGTGTGCTGGGAACAGACAGACATAACAAAAATGGGGGGCTGGAAACAGACAGACTTCACAGAAATAGGGTGCTGGAAAAAGACAGGCATAACAGAAATAGGGTGCAGGAATCAGACAGACAAAATAGAAATAGTGGGCTGGAGACAGACAGACATAACAGAAATAGGGTTCTGGAAACAGACAGACATAACAGAAAAAGGATGCTTGAAACAGACAGACATAACAGAAATAGGGTGCTGGAAACAGACATAACAGAAATAGGGTGCTAGAAACAGACAGACATAACAGAAATAGTGGGCTGGAAACAGACAAACAGAAATAGAGTGCTGGAAATAGACAAACATAACGGAAATAGAGTGCTGGACACAGACAGACATAACAGAAATAGGGTGCTGGAAACAGACAGACATAAGAGAAATAGGGTACTGGAAACACACAGACATAACAGAAATAGTGTGCTAGTAACAGATGGACATAACAGAAACAGGATGCTGGAAACAGACATAATGGAAATAGTGTGCTGGAAACAGACAGACATAACAGAAATAGTGTGCTGGAAATAATAAATATATTTAAATAAACCTTTAGAGATCAATTGTATAATATTAATCCATTAAACAAGGCATAATAACAAGGGACTTTTTATCGCGCAAGAAAAGTAACGTCATATTTCTGCGTACTACGTCATCAGTTTCAGAGAGTGGTGATATGGATTCAGAAAACCACAGTGTGGTGATCCAGAAAGTCAGATCATGATGTCACGTGATTGCGTTAAATCTACAGTAAAATTGAGTGATACACATTAGGTATATAATAAATATATATACTTTGGCATAAATAGGGGCAGACTCAGCTTCTCCTAGTTTTTAATAAATTTAAAAACCCTATCCTCAAAACAGTGGAACCAGTCCTAAGAGCTGGAAGAAAGGTACAGATATATGTAACAGTCATCTCGGTGAAACTGGTGTGCTTTGAGAGAGATGCTCAACTTCCAAGACAGAACTCAACTCGGTTTAGCAGCAGAGGAGACCAGTCATGTTTGATCGACAAGATCCGGAAGAGCATGTAGTACTCAACTTGGTGTGGTAGTCTGAAAGATGGACTGGTTCCAGACTACAAGAGCCGGAAGAGAATGTCTGGAAGATGATTTGTCATCAATGCATGCTTATAAACTCAGTGTACCCTCTCTATGAATTTAGTGAGATATTTCTCTCATAGTTAGGTCACAAGAGCC